ATTAGTTCATCATTTGTTTCAAGCTGTGTTTTGTTAATTATCTTAATTTGCTCCAGTATTTAAAGTGTAGTCTGCCCTGTCTTCCTTTATCCGGTATTGTATATGTAAACCTCTCCTGCTACGTGTGTTTTCCTGGTTCCCTTGTGTTGGATAATTAAAGTCTTCTTGTTGATGTACTCCGCGTCTCCTCGTTTCTCACTCCGCGCTCCCTCACAGTAACGAACGTGACACTTACACCAAGGGTCTATTTTTTTATTTTTATATATAAACTATAATTTTTACTCCACATATCTAAAACACTGATGTGTTTTAGATACAAAAATGTAATGTTCAAAATAACAGCGTTATTTTTCCCTTGCTGTTATGTTTAATTCTCTGTTTTAGTTATTCACTGTCTGTTTTAGTGCGTTGTTAAGGAAAGAGCACATTCACAACGTGCCTACACATACAAACTACTAGCACATAGTTGAAATTTGATGCATTTGTGTAATTTTGTGCAGAAGCAAAATAAAATATTGTGTTTCTTATAGGGCCTATATCTGATTATTCTCATATGTGAAGCATGCATTTGGGTGAGCACTGATCAGTTTACTTTGTTCATTCAGTGTTCAGCTTCAGCTCAAGCAGCTCAAAGTGGGTCAACATTATTGACTTTGATTGGATTGTTTGAAACACAGAAAATAATTTTTCAATGCTTTTGCATTTATTTGCAAAACTTTTTGTGTTCCCTAAAAAACTTGCATTTGGTCACAAATCTACTGCAAAATGGGTAATGGTAATAATATGAAGAGGAAGTAAAAACACACAACTTCATTGAAATATGATTTTTCGTCTTTTCATGTTTTAATTTGACAATTATTTTTTTTTAACCACCGTTTCCTCTTACAGGCTCCCTAATTCATTATCATTGATGGAAAAAAAATTCTTCAGCAATTTTGTTATCGAGACTCCAACTTTTAAATTTGTTCCTTTTCATTCGGCTAATTTATTTCCTCTTCTCACATCTTCACTTGTGTTGTGTTTACTTCTCCTCTTGATACGGGTCACATCACAGTTGTCCCTCAACAAAGCTGTTAGGGCAGATGTCAAGAGCCAGGCAGGTTTTCCAGTAACTAAGGTTGGTTGACATACAAAAGCGAGCGAACCTTCAGCTACATCTGTGAAGTTCAGGAAGAAGGACAGCTACGGCGTTCTCTCACCTTCCTTTTTGATGAGATGGCTGTCAGATGTCTCTGTGCCTCCACTAGAGTTTACATTTGGAGTCCAAGTCTGCTTCACACTACAAAGACATCTAAGACTCTCTAATCCTCAAGGCCAGAAGGTGAAAAAAGTTTCCAGGGGTCAAACAGCATGAGTAAAACCATGACTCTCACAGATACTGGTAAAGTTTACTTGCTGGACATGCTCAAAATTCTTCTAAGATCTCTTATAAATATTTAATTTCTACTTGCTTCAGGTATGAGTTTAATGTACACATATGCAGTGATGGAATATTACTGTGATTACTGTAAAATATATATATCATTCAGTTTTAGTCAATTTTCAGTCCTCGTTTAAATTGCATGACCAATGTCTCATTAAATGATCAATATTCTGAATTCAGAATATGTAATATATTTAATTCAAATAAATTAAAATATGAACTCTTAAAACTTAAAAAGAAAACGTTTCAAAATTCTAAACAATAAAGTTTGATGAATGGCATTAATAAACTAATTTAATTAATAAACAAAAAAAGGCAAGCATTTTTCAACAAATGTAGTTATGTAGTTAATTACACGTTTCCCAGAAATTATTTTAATTTATTTGGTGTAGGCAGTTAAATTGCACACTTTTGCAGGTAAAAAGCGTCTGAGCACTGGCTGCCATTTAAAGTTAGCCAAGTCATTTTTTGCAAACAACATATAAATTAGTATTTTATAATAGATGTTTTACCATGACATTTTTACGTCACAGCTCACAATACACATTAGGGAGGGGTCATGTGATCTTCCAATGAGGTGACCAGCTTCATGTAAAATAAAACAGCTTTTATTATAATATATATTTATAATTTTAAAAAAAAGTACTAATAATTTCTTCTTTGGGCCAAACTTTTTAACGAGGTAAAAAATTCCAACTTTAACTTACATATTATGATCTCATCTTTGAACAATTAGCTTTGCCAGATATGACTTCACATTACAGCCTTCATAGCCTTGGCCATTTGCAATGCCAACAATATAAAATATATAACAATATAAAATAAGGTTGACAATTGATAGTAAACAGCAGGACTGTGATAAGCCTGTGATACAAATCAACTTGAAAATAACTCTTTAATTTAGTCTCATTTGCAGAGGCCATTGAGTAATAAAAATACAAGATAACATGCATTCTATTCAGCAGTAAAATGATGGTGTTCAAGCACAATAACAATAATGGAGAAATTGCCACACAGTAGTTTCTTATTTGTTTTCCCACACTGGAATTATTTTTATGAGACATAGAGCATAATAAAAAGGAAAGCACAAACATAAAACTATAAACTATTAGATCAAGTGGAGCTTACATAGTCAAATTTCCTATATCACATCCTGATTGGGACTATAACAGAGTTTTACAATAATTTAAATATGTAATTTCATTAAATATAGCAATTGCAAAGGATGTATTTTTAATTGTGGGTGGTCTCACAAATACTGTGCATTGAGGTAAAGGGAACTCAACCATAGAGAAAACAGAAAATGGGAGAGGCTTCTGAAGGAAAACACATTCCAGGAGAAACCAAGGTCAGGATGAAACATAACAAGAGGAACTGACATGAAAGTCTGCTTTCTACTTCCTCTGAAGACAAGCAATATATTTCAGACGTTGCTATGTTTAATAGTAATGGGGCATGGGAGTATAGACGCCTCTGTGTGAGGGCTAACGTTTAGACTGCATTGCATCATAAGATTTCATAACGTAAGCCACACACGTTTTCTGTTAAAACGTTAAAAAAGCAGGGTATATTATTCTTATTCAAAACCATTTCTCAGATTTATTTGAATAGTGAAAAGAAGCCCCTTTGTGGCCAAAATTCATGAATATGTGTTATGAACTACACCTCACAGACAATGCCGCTCAGTATAATGCCCTGAGCCATAGGAAGGAGGAGAGTGGAGTTAAATGAGTCACCGAGTGGTGCCACTCTTAGATAATGGCCAAAGCACACTGTGGGAGAGCGAGAAGAAAAAAGGCCAATAAAGAATTATTAAATGGATTTTCATCTTTCTGCCAGCTCAAACGCTTGCCGTGCCAGGCGTTCTCCCAGCGGCACCCACCGAATGATATTCAATGGTCCCTCCAATTTCAATATGACAATGCCAACGGCAAAAGCATCACGTCCCTCGCTGCTGCTCCGCAGATACACTGAACTTCGTGACATCGGCTTGATGATCCAGTTTCGACTGGTTTTTAATTAACCCGAGGGTCAGATCTCAAAGCACACCACTTTAGGGAATTTTACTATCTGGATGAAGGACGGTTAGATACATCCACAGATTAGAGATATGGAGGAGATTTAATTGACTACCCTTTATGATACTCCAGAGAGGTGATGAATACGTGCAATTCCGTAATGCTGAAATTGGAAAGTAGCCTATTTGTATTAATGCCAAAGCATACACTGCATAATAATACCGAATGCTCTATTGAAAAAATCGTCGAACTGAATGACGATATTGAATGGGTCCATCAAAGTCAATGCCGACGAAAGCACTTACTGTAGCTCCATTTGACATTAAATAGACCATCATGAAAGCTGAAATTAGAGGTTTTGTTCCACTGTTTTCCCGCAGTTATTAATCATTTACGCGCAATGTCACGAAAAGTAGAAAGTCAATTGGAATGGATGTATTTCTGTAACACGTCTGTCTCAGGTTCACAGCAGGAGGCAGCCACGTATCCTCACCGCCGCGGTTCTCCAAAGAGCAAAAGTCCTCCCTCGAACGCGTTGCAGAAAAACAAATACTGCCTTGATATCATACCGAACACAAACCCTCCAGAGAGGTGTAGCATATCCTGAATGCTCAATGATCTCATTAACCGCTGCCCATCTCACAGGGAGGCGGAGGTCAGAAGTGCACAACTCGGTTGTAACCTTTTGTCTCCTGGCAAAATCAATGACTGCAAATTATATTTAGAGTAGATATGGAAAGTGAGACCACTCATCTCGAGTGGCAGCTAAGATAATCATCCACAATCGCCCAAGTGTCTCTGAAGCTTTCTCCGCTTTAACTAGGAAATTAGGATGAATAACTACACATGCACTAAAAAAAAGAAACAAGTTTCACTCACAAATTGCTAGTAAATTTCACAAACAATGAGTTAAACATGAAATTCAGGAACAGTATCTCCGTGTAAAATGTACTCCAGTAATCTTTGTTTTAGTTACAGCTTTGAAAAGTCACTGCATGCATCTTCCAGTAAAATAAAATTCATGGAAAGCATCCTTGTTTTGACATAGACTTCACAACTCATGATTTCCTCTTGCATTTAATGCTCTCTAAACACTCTGAAACAACAGTGACTCTGTCAAAATCTCTTTCCCAGCAGACATCAGAGGAACTTTGAAGAGGTGCTGTTAGTGTCGATAGACTTTCCACTTCTTTTATTCTTTCCCTTTTTTCAATGTTAAAGCCCAACCACTGAGAGGCTTTCATTCTGCTTTTGTCTCACAGATGTGACCCACGCTTCTATTCAGTATCTCCGCAGGGGCACACTCAAATGAGCTCTGTTTTTAATGGCATAATGAAGCTCTCTTCTGCAGCATCATGGGAGGCCAACGTTAAAGGTTGGAGTTTGTAATGGATATGCCACAAAGAGGCTCCGAACGCATCGCAAAAGAAATTAATATTACGTTTCGGATAAGACGTCAAACATTGCGGCTGGTTCTTTGTTCGTGCCACCAACATAGCAACAGTAGCCTGGGCTGACATTTCCCGTTTGTTATGATGTTTTGTTCTTCATCCTGCTAGGTGCAAGTGCAATCTGCATGCCAACAGCTGTGTTTTTGACAAAGGGAAGCTGGGGTGCGAGTGCGAGCACAATACTACGGGGCCGGATTGCGCACGCTGCAAGAGACACTACCAGGGCCGAGCCTGGAGCATGGGCTCCTATCTGCCCATCCCCAAGGGTACTGCCAATATCTGTGAGTACATCCTGCCATCTCCTTCTCGACATGACTCATGGGAAAGCATAGTGCTCCATCAAGCACCGAAACGTGACCTTTTCAGTCGTGTTCAAAATGACATTTTACTTTGAGAGCAACAAAAAAAGGACCGACAATAAACCTGTAGGCAGCACATATTACAGAAACTCAGGTTTTCCTACAGCTCCAAAAAATGTATAACTAGTGGCAAATGGCAGGTTTCTGAAATCAGTGTTATTTTAGTATTACTGATATACTATTATATGTTTTGTGAATATTTTGAATTAGAGTTGTACTTTTATATCTTGTGTTTAAGTTTTTAGTAAATTTGTTCTTTTTAGTAGTTTTTTTATAAATATTTAGTTTTAGTTGTTTTAGTACTTCAAGAAATGTTGCCTTGATAACAAGCTAAAATAGTTGTAATAATTATTTTAAAAAGGTGGGTTTTAGTTTGACTTAGTTCTCAGTTCCTCTTCATGAACTCGAGCTGCATCGGAGAACGCTTCGGGAACGCCTTCTGTGACCATGCTCTGAATCACATGTGAAATCAGTCCATTTCACAGGTTGTTGAGACCATCCTCCAATCCAGAGCTCCCTCCATGAGGAAACTGTACGCCTTGAAGTGGAAACTTTTCACTTCCTGATGTAGAGACCACCAGCTCGACCCAGCTAACTACCCAGTCGGTACAATACTGGATTTCCTGCAGGCCCGTTTCTCTACAGGGTTAACCCACTCCACCCTGAAGGTCTACGTGGCGGCCATTGCGGCCTACCATGCCCCTCTCTTGGTGGCCAGTCAGTGTGAAGACACCCTCTGGTTACACGTTTCCACCGCGGTGTGCTGAGGCTGAGGCCTCTTGTATGATCTCGCGTCCCCACGTGGGACATGGCAGTGGTGCTAGAAGCTCTCTGTAAGCCTCCGTTCGAGCCAATTGAGGAGATTTCTGATCGCCACCTCACAATAAAGACTACCTTTCTTCTGGCGATATCTTCTCTTAAGAGAGTTGGGGATTTGCAGGCCCTATCCTTCCTATCTTTACTTTGTGCCCGGTCTGGTCAAAGCGTTTCTGTAACCTTGAGTGGGGTATGTCCCTAAAGTCCCCTCGTCTGCACCGCAGCCTATCGTACTCCAGGCCTTCAGTCCTCCTCCCTTCAGGGAGCCAGACCAGCAGAAGCTTAATTGTATGTGTCCAGTGTGAGCACTGGACGCATGCGTCCACAGAGCTGCCCTGTGGAGGAGGACGGACGAGCTGCTTGTTTGCAATGGTCCCCATAAGAGAGGTCTTCCAGCAACGAAACAGACCCTCAGTCGGTGGATAGTGGATGCCATCTCCATCTCTTATGAGTCCTCTGATCTCCCCTCGCCACTAGGGGTCAAGGCTCACTCCACTCGAAGTGTGGCGGCCTCAAACGCTTTTTTAGCATGTGTTTCTATGCAGGACATCTGCAATGCTGCGGGTTGGTCCACGCCCATTACCTCCGTCAGGTTCTACGGTCTAGATATGCAAGTCACTCCTGGCTCTTCTGTTCTCTCGCCCTGGCTGTACAGGCTTCCACAGGCAGAGATTTGAAAGTCTGGTGGCGTGGGCATTCTCGTTCCCGAAGCGTACTCCGACGCAGCTCGAGTTCCTGAAGAGGAACATCTCAGGTTACATATGTAACCATGGTTCCTCGAGGGAACGAGATGCTGCGTCTCTGTGCCATACTTCCAGCATCCCTGCCAGCGCTTGCTTTATTCCTGAAGCTGGCGGCGGCTCCGCCGCACGTGCTTTTATAGCTTCCTGGTTATGACGTCACCCGCCTGTGATGTCTCGCTCAGCTATTGGACTGATTTCACATGTGATTCAGACCGTGTTCACAGAAGGCATTCCCGAAGCATTCTCCGACGCATCGTCTCGTTCCCTCGAGCAACCATGGTTACATACGTGACCTGAGACGTTTTACTTTTAGCTAACTAATAATCCTGCTGGAAATTAGGAGGTAGCCTACAGATAATAACAAACATTTAATTAAGTAAACATGCACATTAAAGACATGTTCAAACATTAATGCGTCATTCTCTGAAACTTACAGTTCAGTTAAATGGTGTTTTTTAAATTTCAGTTAATCAGAGAATCCTAAATAAATCACTGTTTCCACAAAAATATTAAGCAGCACAACTGTTTTTTATATTGTTAATAAAAGATAGCTTTCAGCTTTGTCATCACATAAATAAATTAAATTTTAAAGTATATTTATTTTCATCTTAGTAATTGTTATTTTAGTAATGTAACACTTTACATTATTTCAATAATATAGTAACTTTAAATTGTGATAAAGTGATACTGTGATAATTGTGTTAGTAAGTAGTAATGATACTGTAAATGCAGTTTTGTTAAGCGTTAGACTTACTTAAAAAATGTCTATAATATATTTGTTTTTCTGCATGTCTGTCAATTATTTCCTCACCTGCACTGCCACTCTTGCCTCCTCAGACACCCCTGAAATAAACTCTAAAATCTTCTGTTATTACCTTGTTTGTGCTTCTCCCAACCTGTGAAAGCCAGAAGTCATCCTCTTCTTTAGCTTCATCTTGGCATTGAGTAGTGGCACATCTGTCAAGTTCTCAACCCAAGGCAGGGGGCTCATTGCCCTAATAAATCTAATGAAGTCAGTAACTGTAGCTCAGGGACAGCGAGAGGCTCGGCCCTGTCCAGATGGTGAGAGGAGAACTCTCTGGCCCCCTCAGTGCAGGTCCACTCAAAACTTAGTCACTGCCATCAAGCACAAGCCATATACTTATGCAGTCCCAAGCAAAGGACGTTTTACCAGATGCTGCATCGCAAGGAGGAATGCGGCAGCGACATTTCGGTTTATGAATGTTCTTTTCTGCATTCTCAACACTGCAGTGATGCATGCGTGATCTTTTATGGCAATATTAGATTCAGTGCACCTGAAGTGCTTTTGTGTGAGTGTGTAGGCGGTTGTGTATGAGTATACATGCTTTTGAAAGCCTTTAATATCGCTCTAGCCTTTTTCCCCCCCCCCCATTATGAAGGCCCTCATAATGCAGGGGCAAAGCTCAGACTGACAACCAGTTATTAAAAACCCAATACCAGGACACATCTGTGCCCAACAGAGGAAACCAAGGACCACCTATATCAAAAGCAATATTAGCACCTGTTTTGGCAAGAAATCCACAATGCAACAGGCTTGCATATGAAATCAAAATAACATTATGCCCCTGCAGGTTTGGTGAAATCAATAGTCCTCGATTGTTGCATCGTTTCCCTTCTCGCAAATGAGCACGATCGCAGTGACATGCCACTTCTCCTACGCTGCTCGTATTACATGTGAGGTTATGAAACATATGGCTCTCACATAAAGATAAATTTGCTGAAAGTGCAGAATTTAATCGAGCTGTAATAGCTTTCATCTGTCATCAAGTCTTCTGCTGTGATCACAAGGGCAATTTATCTCTATGTTAAGATTCATGGTATGCAGGACACTGCTCATGCAGATATATGGCTGACCTCCCGTCTAATAATTCAGCAGGAAATGAAATCCATGTCTTTGACTGTTGGGATGGGCTTAGAGAGTCAGGAGGGAACATTCTGAGAGAGAGTGAAAGTGTCCTGCTGTGCCTTTACACCAGCACCGTACTGCCAGACACAGTAGAGGAGATTTCTCTATGTATAAAACAAGGCTGGAAAGGGACAAGTTTTTGGTTACACTGGGTTTGAGTTAACTAATGGGTTATGGTTCATTTTTTGACGCAACAAAATGCTAATCATCTTGGTGGAGGATTGAGAATGTGTCCAATTTATTTCCTAAGTTTAAATTGGATTTTTTACATTGCATTTAAAATTTATGAAGGGGACTATATATATATATATATATACACACAGTATATTCAGAGAAATTTCTCAGTGTATTTTTGTCAGTGTTACATGTAACGGAATTACGTAATTTAATTACAAAATAAATGTAACTGTAAAATGTGTAATTAAATTAGTTACTTATGAAAATGTTAGTGATTACAAAGGGGATTAGATCTTAATATTTTCACACACACACAAACAAACATACACAGATTTATTTGATTTCATTCCCAAATTGCATTGACTTCTCTAAAATATGAGACACCAATGTTTCAGGAGTTTAGGACACAAAATAGGACACTTGCTTATTCGATAACTGTTTTATTTCATATTTGGGTTTATGTATATGCTTTATTTTTTAAGTTGAAATGTTTTTTCTAACTCAACTGTTTTTGTTAGATGCCAGTGTTTCCTGTCATAGCTATGCAAAGAATTGATTTCAAAAACAGTATCATAACTGCTAAACTATATCTTATGATTTTCAGTCTATATTTAACCTCGGAACTGTCTCAAAGTAAGAAGAGGTGCTAAAGACTGATTTTGTGGTGACTGTGCTTTAAAATGTAATTTTTTATAATCTTAATTCAAGTGTCTGAGAGTATTCAGTGTTGAGTCCCAAGGTTAACCCTGCCTGGTTTAAATGTTTTTAAATGATTAACAGTTGAAAACATTCATTAGAAATTTAGAAAGGTAATCAAAAAGTAATCCTATTTAATTAGTTACATTACTTTAATAAGTAATTAAAATAGTTACACTACTAATTACATTTTAAATAGGGTAACTTGTAATCTGTAACCTATTTATTTCCAAAGTAACCTTCCCAACACTGATTTTTGTGATCATATACATAACTTGCATGTTATTTTCATTAACATTAATAACAATTACAATTAATGTTATTATTGTTAATGAAAATAACATACAGATATGTTATGTGTATGATCCTGTTTATGGGTAATTTCACTAAAAATGTAAATATATAATATATAATAATAATTCTATAATATAGAGATATTAAATATAGATTCCTATTTGTATATACATATTTGTACATATTTATGTATATATACACAAATTTAACTATATATCCAGACTTACATATTCAGATTTAGTTCTGTATATTCATAATTTTCATTTATATATTCTGACTTGTGACTATATACTGTATATATTATTTCCTGTTTGGTCGTTTATAATATATACAGATGGTGGATGGTATATGCTTTATTTACATTCCAGTGGGACTTACTTTTCTGTGAGGACATAAGATATGCAGGGGGAGAAAAAAAAATCAAACGAGGTTCTGGACAGTCTCTATAACTTTCTGATTATAATGAGCAGTTGCAAATTCCACATCATAACAAGCGATGACAGAACTGAATAGTTTCAAGATAAATTCAAACCACATGAAACTTAAGAAGTTCTCTCTTTCATTAGTCAAGTAAACTTAACTACATTAAGTTTCTTTGTATTGCAGTTCTGTAATTTTCTCTTCCTGTCATTCCAATTCAAATTCCAATTCAACATCTAGCGGGATGTGACAAATTCAGTTGAAATTCCAGCTCATGAACTGAAAAGATGCCAATTTAATTTCATGAAATTCATGAATTTATGCTCTGTGTACTACAGTATATAGTTTTGTGGAATTGATCGTATTCGTTTATGCACAAATGTCACATTAGCATTGCATACAGATGCATTCTTCATATAAACAGCAAAAATGCATGAAATTCTTATAATGTGTATGTGGCAGCCTTAACCAGGCAGAACCATAAGATCTTGATCTTATGTTTGCAGAAGAGGATTTTCAATTCTGTGCGCTTGTTGTGTCCCATGTGGAAAGAACAGGTGCTTGAGAAGCGAAGAATTATGTGTGTTCGGTACTTTTGTGATAAATAAGATGTGTTTTGGTTTAATCAATGCACACTGAGCTCATCTACCAGCTGTCCACTTCTGCCTGTTTTCCAGACTTGTCATTCATAGCTCAGGTGAGCAGAATTCCCAATTAGCTTTGAGTCGCTAACGCTGTAATGAGGTCTATGATGTGCCGTAAGAGTTGAACGCGAGAATACAACCACGTCTGAGTCTGAACTCTTTTGGGGCTAAACATAATGTGGCGATAAAATATCTGTCAGTCGCTGTTGCTAGGTTAAGCATTTTACTAAAAAACCTGGAAACTATAATACAAAATATCACAGAGTGTAAAGCACCTCAGTGGTCTGTGGTTCTGAAGGAATTGCATGCTGAGATATTCAGTGCCGTTATTCTTTGAACAGTGTCCTATAGACTGACTGGAGAGCAGCACGTAGGTGCAATAGATTGAAATGTCAGGCCTGTCACAATAATAATATAAAAAATAAACTGATGGATAGAAAAGTTCAATCATTTATTAAAATGTATGCTAACTAACAGCACTGCTGATTAATGAATAATAAATAACATAAAACACTCTGGCAGGCCGCATGTACTCTAGCAGTTAAAAGAAAGAGCTACACAATTCATTTTGTAGACAAATGCAAACTGTGCGAATGCATTTAATCACAAAATTAACATTTGTATTTATTCTAAATGTTGGAGTGGGTAGTAGAAGAAAAACAGTCAACGAGTAGGCCTAAATACACACCTGGAAACTCCCAGGTTTAAAAAAATCCCACATACTGCCATTTGTGTTGTTTCATAATGTGATGAAACATTCATTATAGTTTACATTTAGTCTAAATGTAATGTTTTGCCATGTATACCATAATTTACGACTGTCCTTGATTTTCAGCCCTGTTTAATTAAAAATATATTTTGTATAAATTCATACATATAGATAGGAACTACTAGCCCAAAAGGTCAAGAAAAAAAAAACACTCATTGTTGATCCCTGCCAATGCAAATGTGCTTTTTGAAACAAACAACAGTTTTCAACCCAGTTTTGTAATTGCCAGTGATGATACTGTGGCACACAGAACTGCTCATTACAATCAGAGAGTGGCCAGAATCATATGAGCTGGTTTGATTATGTTTTTCCTCCATATCTGATGTCCTCACTGAAAACATGAAGCTGTGAAGCAAGGTTATCACATATGTATCTGACTTTTTAAAAAGCTTCTGTAAATGTAGTTTAATTCATGCTAGTTCTTTCTTTTTTACCCCAGGTATCCTGAATAATCTTGGCACCTCTGGTGAGTTTTTCACTCATGGTATAATGAACATCATTTGTATTGTATTTATATAGATATGAATATTTAATATGTAAAACAGAATTCTTTCAAATATTTAAACATACTAATTCAAGGTCTGGTGATAAAAGTGACTGAAACCCAGTAGAATAACACTGGATTAATGAATAATACTAAACAAGCCAAGAAATATTTTGATTAAAATTAATATTTTTCATTTCATCAAGTTCGACCGAATGCTTCTTCTCTTGGAGCAGCAAACCGAAATCAAGGTAAGACTTTCAGAAATCATCTCATTAATGCCTGTAAAACATCCAACCACAGACATTTTTTTTTCCAGCTTGAGGATCCAAACCCTCATACTAACAAAGCACCTTTGTTTGTCTACTTTGATCTCCTCTACGATTTCAGTCCAGCCTCAAATCTCAAAAGACTGTCCAAGAAACAGTTTTGAGTGACTCATTGTCTGCGGTTAGTTTGTTGTTAGGGTGTTGATGACAACGATATGTTTAGAATTAGAAAACAATAACATGAAAAAAATTTTAACGTTGTCATATTCAAAAACCCATCATGGCTATGAACTGTGATTTGATAGTTTCTAATGCTAGTCAGAGGCTGCTAAAATGTATTTTGTCACTAGCATATATGTAGATGGTCTCAAAGCTTAGCAATGAACTAAAATAAATTTTGATTTCATGGGGTTTTTAAGAGAAGAGGATTGAAAAAACTGAAGGCTTCTAATTTTCAGCTCTCCTGCTGATTGTGAGTGATAGAGAGTGGTCTCTTTTCTGTCAGGACCAGAAGCAGAACAAAACAGAGGATTGTGAGAATCTGTCTGGTTGTTTAACACCTTACATCTTCTAGATCCAAACCTTCGTTTAGTAAGCAGCCAGCGGACAGTAGTGTTTAATGATGACCTCCCTGATATCAGGCTCTTCTAATAACCTCTCAGATGTAATTAGTTTCAAGTATCTGTTTTCTTGTGCCTGGCCTCTTCATGGAAAAGAAGAGTGAATGTGAGGAAAAAAGATAGGTTTATGTACACAGATTTCAAAGACTTGATTGAGAATAATATCTCAAGCAGACGAATACAGTGGAGAAACCATCACTCAGACCATAAAAAAAGAGATACACAGGGTAGAAAAGAGTGCTGCAAAATATGTGCACTGGACACTGACATTTGTTAATGAGTTAGAGTGTAGTAAATGCTGATAATCAATAGAAAAAATACAGTGTATAATATATGGGAACTTACAGTAAAATAGCTTGTAGATGATGAGCAGAAGGCACCATATCCTGTTATCTTTATTTTATTCTAAAATAGTGGTTTTCAAATGGTGGGTAACAGCCTGAAAATGTCTTACAGGTCTGTTCTGTTCTGCAAGGGGGGGAAAGAACAATGCTAAATAAAATTCAACTAACTGTAGAAATGTGCCTTGTTCAGATAGCTAGATAAATAGATGTATACAGTATATACTATTTTGTCAAAAATAAAACAAAAACTACAATCAATAATAATTTACAGTATGTTAAGTGGATAGTTACGTTGAGATTAGTTAAAGATTACATTTAACAGTGAAAATAAAAAAATGATCCCTAACTAGAAAAGAAAATTGTTTACTTTTGAACAATGGACAATTTCGGTACTGCATTGGTGACTTAATGTCCAAATTTTAAAAACAACTGGGCCTTGAAACCAAACCGGCTGAGAACCACTGATCTACTGTAGGCAATACAATGCAGGACCAATGAGTTAGTTGTACTACAGTAACACTTAAGCTACTTAAAACTATTAACTAAAATGGAAACTGGATTAAGTAATAGCAAATGTAAGGCAGGGATAGTTCCATATTAGGTAATCAGTAATTACTGAATTAAACTCATATACAAACTAGTAAATATCTATGATCAATTTTTAAATATTACCAATTATGCAACAGTTATACAACAAGAGTGCAATATTCTAGTGATATCAGAATTCAGAACCGTTTCACCATTTGTATCATGTATAAAAACCGCTTGCAGTATTTCTCACAGCGAGTGTCATGGCAGATGCCCAAATCCATTATAATTTTACAAATAATACGGTCACAGAATGTAGTTTCAACAGTGTAGTTTTTAGGCAAGAATTTACTTGTATAGACTTCAAATATGTGGTTTGTTAATAAAGATAATGTCTATTGAAAATTTGCTTCGATGTTTTTGGAGCTCCATGTGAGCTCCAGGGTGTCAGCGGGCGTTCAGTGCTCATAAACCCACCGAGAGCAGCCTTACCTCAGCCAGTTCTTCTGCAATTTTCAGCTGGTTCTGATGTCTCTATAGTGGTTAAACATGAGATATAATTCATTTTGGGTCAATTTAATGGGCAGTCTTTGGTCTCATTAATTTATTATTTGTTCCAGAGCATACAGTTTTGGCTGAGGGCAAAAGCCCATCACATTATATTTTGTGTAACTTCAATGCTGTATACCAGAGCGCTGCCTTTGGACTGTTTACTGAATTGAATTGATGTTTTTGAATTAGTAATGGAGGCTTGGGAAGTAGTTCTGCACAAAAGAGGGTTTTTAAAGACACTCCGTTATTGTTTCCTATGTATTTGCACAGTCATGCCATAAAACTGTTGTATAAACACAATATCACACTCATAGTCATGCAATATGGCTGTATATCAGCACGCTGTGATTACCTACAGCACTTGTGTGATATTGCTCATTTAATTATTAACCACAACATTAACATATCTGATATGTGACCAAAACTTTGAACATGGTCATGGAATGCACCACTAATTATCCAAGTGTTACCTAGTTACTCCGCAGTAACATCTAGTGAACTGGACCATATACTGTCAAATTTTTCACTTTAAAATAATGCTCCAGATCATTAGTAGTTCCTGCTGATTAACTACGTAACACTGGAGTAATTAATGGTGCGTTCTATGACCATGTTCACAGTAAAACAGAAAATTGTTCACATCTAAGACTTGTTAATATTGTGTTTACTTTAATCTCATTTAGACATTACTGATTACCTAATTAAGAACTATCTCAGTACTTGCTATAATTAGTTATTCCTGTTTCCATATTAGTTAATAGGACAGTAGTAACTGAAGTGTTACTGTAGTACTGAATTACTTCCTGCATAGTTACCGATTTATGACTCACTTCTAATCTAAAGCATTATCACTAAACTGAAAAAAGATCTTTAGTCTCATCCATAATAGTACACCACTCTGAGATTGTTCATCTCAAAAAGGAGCACTAAAACCTCTTCTCTGACTTGTCAGGGAACGAATAGATCTGTCGCATTCATGCGTCACTATTGCTCAACTCAGGAGCTGCCTGTTCTGTTAGCGTGTGAAAAAGTCACCATAAGCGGCGAAGGTGCGATACAGCACATATGTCTCCCAGGGAGAGACAAACCTCGGCCAGGGTTCACACCTCTCGTTTTTTCTTAGGTCAGAAGGTAAAGCACAACACAAGTGCAAATGCAATCTACACCACTGTACACCACATGTGACGGATGACCTTGCACGTCTTTGACGATGAAAATGAAGACCGGGACAGACGTGAGTGTCTGTGTGTTCAATGCTCCCTCGGTGCATATGTACATATTTGAATTAAGATGCAGTCAAAGAAGCAGCAGCAGCGGGTCTGTCTTCTGGGTACACTTGAACCACACCCTTCGCTCGAATCTAATCTTGGGTACAGATGCTCATGGAAAGACAATAGCTCTGTAGGGTCCTCTGGAGGCCTGTCAGCATTTGGATAATCCCATACACAGTGAACAAAGTAAACTCCAAGCCTGGAGATTTAAAGTTTAAATCCCAGCAAAATCTTTCCAGAGTTGTCGCTCAAAACGGACACTGAGCTTATCTGAGCACCAGTTAAACCATGCCAGATGGGCTTTTCGTGGGAAGATATGATTTAAAAAAGTGATATTTCAGTGTTAAAACTGCCCTCAGCACTTAAAATGTTTAAAAGTGTCTCTTTTGAAGTGATGCATTTCTGTTTGTTTGTATAATAGTAGAATTTCAGTAATAGTGCAGAAAAACTGTCTATATTTAAACTATGGAAAAACAGAGAGAAAATAATAAAACGAGTCAAATCTCTGCTAAATAAAGTTTTATTTAGCAATCTTTTTGTGGCCATGCTATATTGTGCACACTTGTGTTGGGCCTAATAGCATCTTTTAACTGTGATTACATTAGTGATTTATGGTCTCGCTGACTGGGGGTGTTTGGTGTTTCCCGAAACCAAAGTTATCCAACTACGTATGATCGAAAGTTCTGTCGTTATCAACATATTGCAGTTTAACGATTTAGTGTTTCCATAGTTCCAATGAACATGCATCAACAGCCTCAAAAACTTGTGTGACTTGAAATGCAGCTCTAGATCTGTGGTTAGAAACATTTTTTCTTGTTAGTTCAACATGTGGGCCTAAATAGCTCATGCTCGTGAACAAAATAAGCAAGCTAACATGTAGTACAATCTATATTTTTTCATTTTATATATGTACAAAACTCTACATCTTTTATTAGTTTGTCAAGAGAACGAAGAGTGTGCATGTGCATAAGTGGTTTAATACCGTGGGAAGCTCAGGAGTATGACGTGAGAGAGAACTTGCAACTGGATAAAACAACAGGAAATAAAGCAAAACAGTGGAGAGCAAATAGCGAAGTATTCCTCAGATGCCATGTTGATTTACAACAATAATCTGACGAATTCAATCTTGAACTGATTAAGTTATTACTCCACTGCCTGCTTGATGTAATTAACAACAGTTGTTGATTATTGAAGCAACATGGCTCGAACAACAACTGTGAAGAGTTACTGCAGTTTAGACAAACAGCCATGACTTGCTAGTTCATTTCTCCAATAATGCAATGTTATTAATGTTAGTTAAGCAGCAAGTTACATCTTATGTATTGGAAACACACCTCTGGTTAGACTGATTTTAGAGGGTCAGCGAAAAAACTAAACCAGTTAAACTCTGGGTTGACCTTCTGGGAGACCATCGTAAACCAGCTAAGACCTAGTTGGCTGGTTTAAATGAGGTTTTAGTAGGACTATTGCTCATTGCTAAATTTTATTTAGTTTTGTTCTGTCCCTGCTTCTCAGAGGACCAAGATGAAATCCATCTGAATGAAGAAAGCAGAATGTAATTACACCCAGTTTCTGAGCAAATAGTCCTGTCTCTCCTGCCAAAGCAAATATTTTCCTCAATAATGGAAGCTAGTACAATGCAATAGCAATCATCTTTTTTCCACTAAAGAGCTTGTTTACAGGTCAAGGGGAGGGAGATTAGAGCAAATCAGACTGGATTGGCACCATGACTTACATTTCATTGCACACCACTTCCCTGTTTGTCTTAAATTTGAACTTGAAATTTGAAGGGTTGGAAAAGCCTTATTTTTCATTTTGCAATAATTAGATTATGGATCCAACATCAGAAGTGTCAAAGCATTGTTGAACGGTTCATTTAACAATGGGTGTTGATTGAGTTTGCTGTAACCTTCAAAAAAAAAAAAAGGGGCAACACTTTAGTATAAGGACCAATTCTCACTTTTAACAAGTTGCTTGTTAACATGCCTATTATTAGCATATTGGCTGTTTATTAGTACTTAAATAAACACATATTCTGCAAGACCATATTCTACATCCCTAATCCTACCCAATACCTAAATTTAACAACCACCTTACTAACTATTAATAAGCAGCAAATTAGGAATTCATTGAGGTAAAGTCGTAGTTAATGGTTTGTTAATAGCGAGAATTGGACCTTAAAATAAAGTGTGACCGAAAAAAATGAATTATGAAGTAGTAAAATTCAGATTAATTAGCCACCAATTTGCCAAAATGTATAATACTCAGGAATTGCCATGAGATTGTGTTGGCAGCATTTGGACTTTCTGTGGTAGCTTCATGCCAGATATTTGATAAAAGTCAGCAGTGGTGTCTTTGATTTGGTCACACACACTGAAAAATGTGTCACACAAAGATATATTTCCTGCCCCAAATCCCACCTCTCACTCTATGATTAATCATATCACTTCTGCAATATTACAGTGGGACTAACATCCCCCGTGGTGTCCTTAAAAGACACCGCTGAGCCTCTTGCCAGCGCCCATCATAAACAATCACACACACCGCAACCTGATGATCATCTTGATGGATGCACTTTTTTTCCTGGAAAGTGTTTCCTGGCGGGGGGAGGGAAGCGATGCATGTTCACCTATCTTTTTCTCTGCTCCCCACAGCTCGAGTGTGTGACAACGTGCTCCTGCGCTGTCAGAACGGTGGCGTGTGTCACCACCACCAGCGCTGCCAGTGTCTGGCCGGTTTCGGAGGCATACTGTGTGAGAAGGCCCAGTGCCAGGGTGACTCTTGTGAGGATCTGCAATCCAGCCAGCCATCCCTCTGCCCCCCGCCCGCGGCCCAGACTCTCCCGCTGGCTCTTCTATCTCTCATCCCCTCCCTACTGGCCACCCGGGGCCTTACATCACTCTGAGGGGAACGCTTTCACCCCAAAGACATTCTCTACGGGGGCTCCAATCATGAGTTCCTGTTAGAGGACACATGACGACTGAAAATAAATGCTGGTGGGATAAAAAAAATGAAACATCTTTTTAGGAAACCGTAAAGTTTTCTACTCAGTTCTACGTCAATTAAAGATTGCCAGAGATGATGGATAAACTGAAAAACTGCAAGAGGAAATTTACAACAAAAAAAACAACATAAAAAAAAAGCTGACACTAATGACCATCTTTGTTGAAAGAGCGCAGAAACACTGCAATACAATTTTTTTGGAGACAAATCATCAATGTGAAGATGAATCAAGATGTACTCGTAGACTGCCACCTGAATTTATGCACACACCAACACGACTGGTTGTCAAACTTCTCACACTTTACCTTTTCCTGACCCGCCCTCTTCTTCTTGTAACTCTGTGAAGTCATGTAAAAGATCCATGATGTATGTCACACATGAATTGATCCAGATTATCATTCAGAGCTGGTGTAAGATCAAATATACAGTAACATGAGAGACAACTGTTGACATTTTGTACTGGGATGTTTTCATGGCAATGAGAATTAGAACAAGAAGAAAGACCCAGATCAGCAACGTGACTTTTTGCATCGCTGCAACAACCTGTAGAATTTGGGTTGATCCTTTATTGCCCTGATGAAGTTGAATATTCCTGTTCAGTTGCTAATCGTTTTTGCTTAAAACATACGTTTACATTCTCACCGACCGAACTGTATGAAAGGTTTCACCAAATGGCTTTGGTGAGAAATCCTTTGTTGCTTGAAGCCAACTATGTTTGTGAATTAAAGATGAAAAAATAACTTTATTGTCATTTCGTGAAAGCGAATAGTCAAAGATAACAGGTGATTTCTGTTCATGTGTTCTCAGAAGTTCAGGCTTGTTTTCAAAGCTCTTAGCAACCATACAAATTGCAGGTGTATTGACTTTAGTGGTTAGCACTCTCCCAAACATTACAATTGTTAAGAATGGTGTAAAAAGGCTAGAAACGTTCTTTAAACTCAAAATCGAAAACTGATATAGATGAAAGACATGTTCAGCTTTATTATGTCAGTGTTCTGAAAAAGGAATTTAAACATGATGGACATCATAGACAGATTCGGTTTAGACTTAGCAATTAGCTAACATACAATAAAGACTGATATACCTGTAAGGTAAGGTCATTATCCAGCCAGTCATAATCACAGAATAAACCACATCAGAGTGATCAGATATTATGACCACTTGACAGTAATCATTATCCTGCTTATTAGATGGTAACTTACCAAACTGACATACTGCAACTATACTATTGCAATGTTTGTACTTTTTATATATAGCCTGATAATAATATACACTGCTGTTGAAAAGTCTGGGATCAGAAAGATTTTCTTTTCTTTTAATTAATACTTTTATTCAGCAAGGATGGAATAAATTGATTAAAAGTGACGTTACAAAGGATTTCTATTTCAAATGCTGTTCTTCTGAACTTTCTATTCTTCAAAGAATCCTGAAAAAATGTATCATGGTTTCCACAAAAATATTAAGCCACAATATTAACCATTTTCAACACTGATAAGAATAAGAAATGTTTCTTAAGCACCAAATCAGAATAATAGAATGATTTCTGAAGGATAATGTGACACTGAATACTGACGTAACCACTGCTGAAAATTCAGCTTTGCCAGTACCGGAATAATATTAAAAAAATATTATATTTAATATTTTAAATTGTAATAATATTTTAAAATATTACTATTCTCCCTGTATTTTTGATCAAATAAATGCAGAATTGGTGGGCACAAATGACTTTCAAAAACATTTTTTAAAATCTTACTGACAAGCTTTTGAATGGTAGTATATATTATATACTGCATTTAGCTTATATCTTTAGGTCTATTTTAAGTTCTCTCTCTTTGTGGGTAAATGATTGGGTGAACTATCTTTTTAATGTACCCAAATTATCAATTACTGGATGACATTCCTGTAGCTCAAACTGTAAAACATGCTTCTAGCAACACCAATGGTCATGGGTTCAATTGCATGAACTGGTAAAATTTTAAAACCTTCAAATGCAATGCAAGTCGCTTTGGGTAAAAGCGTGTGCAAAATGAATAGGTGTTAATGTAAATGACCCAATCACTCAATAGCTGGTACTCTACAGTCAAGGCATCATTTCTGAAAGCTCAAATTTCAACTGAAATCTACTCATAAATATAGTACTAACAGGGCTGGATCGGAGGACATGGCAATAGAGGTTTTCCAGCAGAGACTGAAATCAAATGTAAATCACAAAACGAATGAGTAAGAGAAGTGTGTTGACGAAATATGGATTGGAGAATGTCACTCACTGCGAGGCATAACACGCAGTCGTGATACGGCAATCATTTTCAAGTCCACGCTGGGCACTCGAATGGAAATCAAGTCATTCTGTGCCTATGACACACGGTGGAAGCGGGTCTGAGGCTGGATAGATTACATTAGTGAGATTAGGCCTCTTCATTTCAATCAAATTAAATCCTCTATCGCCCTTGATCTTAATAACTTTTCTCCCAAAAGACAAGTATAAGTGAAGATGTCATTTTATTTTGAGAAATAACTGCCATGTCCATTTACTCCATTGTAAATTCCATTGATGATTAGGTCCAGGTTCACCATTTTTGTTTCGACTCATTTCATTCAGCTTAATAGATGCGGTCAAATAATTAGAAACACTTTGCACTTCCAAGATGGAAATTTAAGATTGGCCAGATAAATGAGTATAAACATTGTACCCTCAAAAAAACAAGCCGTACCGCATCTCATTAGGTTTGAATGTAAATGCTGTCAGAATGCTAACGAGTCTGTAATGAGACTGAATACAAACTCCCCCCAGCAAACTACCACCTCTATTTCTGACGTACATCAAGGGTCAATGAGGGTACATGGCATTCTTCGCTCCTCATACTTTACAATAATAACTGGATGCTCTTTAGAAAACAGCTTCTTTTTCAACCGAGACAACAGCTATTTTTACACAATGTGTCCCTGATTGTGTATTTTGAAAGCTCTGCATACTAAAAAGGTGAAACAATTCTTTGACTTTCCCTCAAGCTGTGAATGAATCCTGAGGCTATTATTTGTCACCTGTTGGAAACAACATTGACATGAGTATATACACACAAAGTCTAGAGGAATCATTTTACAGTGCTATTTCAAAACTACACAAAAGGCCCCCGAGACGGTGAAATCTCTTTCAGTACGGTCTTTATACCATCACTGTGGGATTATCAATGGTTTACAAAACTAATGGCTCGTTCTCAAGGTCCCATTTTTCAAAGCGGCAGAACGCCATGAGGAGCTTCCCACTTGAGACTGTCCCTGACAGTGTTACTAGGCCAAGATGTCCCACACCTGAGATGAGAAAGAACATGAGGTATATTTCAGCAAGGCTGTAAAACATCTTTTTATGCCTTCCTACTTCCCCTGCAACTTTCTGGACCATTTTTAAACTTTTAAAGGTTATAGTGTATCAGGAATGTGTGCATAAGTCATGGACATGCACTTGATGGATGATTATTGAAGCACAATGTTTTTTCAAAGTACAGGAGACTCAGCAGAGTAGATACCATAACACTGCCATAAAACATTACGCTTTTTTTCTTTTTCTCCAGGATGTGGCCTGTTTACCAAGAATGATGCTTTTCTCAGAATAATGGCCACATCCATCTCTAAGAAACAGGACTGTAATGCTTTATTCAAAGCAGGGTGTGACACTTTGTGAAAGCAGCTGCTCATTTACACTTCTTGGAGTAAAACCCAGCTCACAGTATACATTAGAGATCCAGTTCGCCCTTTTCCCTTATGGCATTTTCAGTGGGGTCCAAAAGTCTGAGAGCACTAGTGAAAATGCTTCCGTTTAATCATGCCAAATTGTATTATCAATCTGGGCTACAAGGAAGGTGTCACAAATTTGCTTAATTGATTAATTGCCTAAACAGGAAGTAGAAGAAGAATTTTTCAAACTTGTTTATATGTTTAAATAGGATTTTGAATATCTTATGCCCTGATCAGATTTGAATCTCTCAAATATATTCTGCATATTCTCATTAGATGATTAAACGCCATATATACTATCATGTAAAGCCAAATACACTATCAATACACTATACATTTTTTACATTTTCGAAAAAAAGAAGTCTCACCAAGGCTGCATTTATTTGATCAAAATTACAGCAAAAACAGTAATATAGTGAAACAATGCTAATAATTTTCAGCAGCCATTACTCCAGTCTTCAGTATCACATGATCCTTAAGAAATCATTCAAATATGCTGATTTAGTGCTCAAGAAATATTTGTTATTATTATCAATGCTGAAAACAGTTGTGGTGATTACAATTTTTGTGGAAACCGTGATGGATTTCTTATTCAGGATTCTTAGATTAATAGAAAGTACAAATGTATTTACTGACACTTGATCAATTTAATGTGTACTTGCTGTAAACGTGAATATAGGCCTATAGGATATATATAGAATTGTCCTGACTGCACATCAGTTGTAGGTTGTGTTGATTTATGAAAAGATCATTGCTGAGTATCTTAATGGGAGCGAAACGCTATCATGACATGCCAAAGACAAGGAGGCTTCCGTGCTGGATATTAACCACAGGGAGCTTCGCTTCGGTTATCTGGCCCAGTGTGTGCCATGCATGCCTTTCAATTCTCTTCAAGGACTAAAGGGTGGGACATATTTAGTCAATGCATTCTTGGATCCTGCCAGTCAGCATTACATAATTAAACATGATTAATCCATAATTGGAGACATGCAGTTAATTGTCCATAAGCAAATACTGTATATGGAGTATATAGGCATTATCTAGTGAGCAATAATAACTTCCTGTCTTGCTAAAAATTGATTCAGTAAATTGCCACACCGTGGTTGTGATTCTTTAAATAGCAGCCATAACAATGTACACATTTTCTGTTTCAGCTTAATCTAGTTAGGTTTCATTTAATCAGGTTACTTCCCATCCTGATAAATCAATAAAGTGTAAATCTAAAAAGGATTAACTCAGAATGTTGTAATTGTATACGAGGTGAGGGAGATGTGACAGTTATACATTTTCCATTTAGGAGACAGTTTTAGGGTTTTATAAGCACTCTACACAGGGTCAAAGCCATTAGCAAGCATCTGAGATCTTTTTTCACATCTCTTGCTCTGTATATTTCAGTTGTTGGAACCTTCTCTTCTGCAATAAGGGAAACATAATCAGATTGCAGCTGTTGTTGTGAGGTCAGCTACTGTGTTTTTCTGGCTCTCCTCAGTGCTTAAATGAAGGGCGTACAGGTTCAGAAAGGAGAGTACAGGCAGGGCCGTTTCTAGCCAATTTGACGCCCTAGGCGGAATCCCTATTGCCCCCCCCAATTATATATATATATATATATATATATATATATATATAAATTTTTTTTAGACACCACTTGCTTGTTAC